CAAAAACTGGGACATGTTTGGGTTGGTTGGTAATAATAAAAGTGTGAAACGAGTGCGTCAGGAAAAACACACTCGACATGAACATCACACTCACTATAGTCCCATTTTCTTTGTGTTTTGGTCATTTTGAAGCAGCTTTTCTGTATTTGACCTCAGCAAATGACAGTTTATTCCTCTCTTTACTGTCGCAGGTATTAGATTGGTCCAAAACAGGGACACCTGGGACATTTCTTGTGTAAAACTGGGACAAATCACAGGTTTGGGATAAATCTGCTGGGACAGAAGACACAGACTCAAAACTGGGACTGTCCCGGGTAAACAGGGACGTCTGCTCTCCCTGTTCTACTAATGTAGATTGTAAAGAAATGCTGCTGAAAGTAGAAATGAATGTCTGAAGAGAGATTTTGTGGTTTTGCAGTTTCTCACTGTGAGTCACAATTCAGTCCTTTTATTTGGATGATGTTCTTTTTTATTCTGTGTGTTATTAAGGTAAAGGTATCATTTAGTGAACACTGTGGGGAAATGCATCCTCTGTATTTGATCCAAACATTCTGATTATTGAACATGTATATAGTTAAATAGAGCTAAATCTAGATATAAAAACAGTGTCCATGTGTGAGTCTGTGGCTTACGGCCATACCACCCTGAACACGCCCGATCTCGTCTGATCTCGGAAGCTAAGCAGGGTCGGGCCTGGTTAGTACTTGGATGGGAGACCGCCTGGGAATACCAGGTGCTGTAAGCTTTTACTTTTATTCTCTTGTTACTAAATTTGTTTATAAATACAACATTTTTACAAACACGAGACAAACGAAACACTTTGGCCTTTACGTGACTGTACGCGTCTTAGTTTGACTCTTACTGTGACTTACTACTACACTACTCCAATGTGACCAGAAGAGGGCGCTGTCCTGATACTTTTCTACATAGAAAAGTCCCTGAGGCGCAGCTCTTGGTCTTAAACTTCTGGGTTCATGAGCTTTTTTTTTTTTTTTTTTTTCAGGACTAAACCAGGCAAGACAAGTTTATTTGTATGGCACAATTCGTACACAAAGAATAAAAAATACATTCAAATCACAATCAAACAAATCAAAACATAAATAATCATCATAAAATTAAAAAACAGAGAGAGATACATTAAATGAGAGAGAAGAGTACAGAATGAAAAATGAAAACCTTTCAGTCATATGCAGCTAAACAGATTAATTTTTGGAACAAGAGAAAAAAAGTAAAAGCTTACAGCACCTGGTATTCCCAGGCGGTCTCCCATCCAAGTACTAACCAGGCCCGACCCTGCTTAGCTTCCGAGATCAGACGAGATCGGGCGTGTTCAGGGTGGTATGGCCGTAAGCCACAGACTCACACATGGACACTGTTTTTATATTTACTTTATATCTGCACTTTCCAATGTTTACAGAGATCATGAAATGTATTTTGTAAAGTAGAGTGAGCAGATTTTCTGAATCAAAAACTGGGACATGTTTGGGTTGGTTGGTAATAATAAAAGTGTGAAACGAGTGCGTCAGGAAAAACACACTCGACATGAACATCACACTCACTATAGTCCCATTTTCTTTGTGTTTTGGTCATTTTGAAGCAGCTTTTCTGTATTTGACCTCAGCAAATGACAGTTTATTCCTCTCTTTACTGTCGCAGGTATTAGATTGGTCCAAAACAGGGACACCTGGGACATTTCTTGTGTAAAACTGGGACAAATCACAGGTTTGGGATAAATCTGCTGGGACAGAAGACACAGACTCAAAACTGGGACTGTCCCGGGTAAACAGGGACGTCTGCTCTCCCTGTTCTACTAATGTAGATTGTAAAGAAATGCTGCTGAAAGTAGAAATGAATGTCTGAAGAGAGATTTTGTGGTTTTGCAGTTTCTCACTGTGAGTCACAATTCAGTCCTTTTATTTGGATGATGTTCTTTTTTATTCTGTGTGTTATTAAGGTAAAGGTATCATTTAGTGAACACTGTGGGGAAATGCATCCTCTGTATTTGATCCAAACATTCTGATTATTGAACATGTATATAGTTAAATAGAGCTAAATCTAGATATAAAAACAGTGTCCATGTGTGAGTCTGTGGCTTACGGCCATACCACCCTGAACACGCCCGATCTCGTCTGATCTCGGCCAAAGAAGGGGCAAAACGGACTGCTCGATGGGGGAAAGAAAAAAGAAAAGGGGGGGGAAAGGGGGGGAAAAGAAAAATGAAAGAGGAAAAAATTTAAAAGAGGGAGGAGAGGAGAAGAGAGGGAGAAGAGGAGGAGGAGAAGAGGAGAGGGATGAGAGAGGGAGAAGAGAAGGATCTTTATTTATTTATTTATTCTAAATTAATTTATTCATAAACTCCACTCCACAACACATGAACACACTGTATGTTTATTCACAGTACATAGTGAATCTTACACATTATATTATAATACATATTATATACATACATGTACACATTATAATATTATAATATACACAGTAAATATTCACAGTACCTCATTTTCCCTCTAGAGGTCTCACTTACATCAAAGGGTGAAGGGAGGGTTACGATTTGAGTAACAAGTTGCATAAATTTAAATCAATTTACTGGTTTAAGAAGTTGCACACTCTTGCCAGGACTTGCACCTGGAATCTCCCACCCAAAGGATGGACGTGTTACTATTACACCACAAGAGTTTGTTTTGTTTGTTTTTTTTGTTTTGACTTTTTTTTTTTTTTAAAGCACATATTTGGAACGGCAACTGTGCTTATTAATCTTAATCTTTTAAAAAAGTTTGCAACTGCAAATGTAACAAACGTATACAAAAATATAACAAAGAAATACTAGATTGTAATGTTACCATTGCAAGTAAGTAAGTAACGTGACATTTATTTACATAGCGCTTTTCACAGACACAGGTCACAAAGTGCTTCACATACAAAAGATAAAAAACAGCATAAGATACATTCAAACAGTCATAGCAGCTCTCAAGGAGGTAGTTTACTCCACAGTTTAGGGGAGAGAGCTTTTCCACTCCTCCAAAGTCTGTCCAGAGGCAGGGCAGTACCACTTGCCACGTACCTGTGTGTGCCCAGTAGATTTGGCTTTTGCTTCCCCGTACAACTTACACTGGTAGTGGTAGTGCTCTTTAGTTTGGCGTTTCTTGGGGGGCTCACCTCTCCGCTCACGCTCCTGATCTTCAAGTGCAGCCTTCTGTAATCGCCATTCACGATGACGATTAAGAGGGTTTACCCCTGAGTGGGTTTGAGAAGGGGCTATAGGTGGCTGGTGGGTGGTGGCCCTATCCTGGGTGGATGCTGAGGGGGGCTGAGGGGTGGTGGACCAGCCCTGTGTGGATGGCCAGCCCTGGGTGGATGTGGAGGGCAGGTGGTGTGTGGCAGACCAGCCCTGGGTGCATGTGGAGGATTGCTGGGAGGGCCAACCGTAGGAGTGTGCTGGGGGTGCCAGGTAAGCCGTTGAGCCTTGAGGGTGAGTTGGGGGTGCTGAGGGTGCCTGTTGGGAGGAGAACCAACTCTGAGGGTATGCTGGGGGTAACTGGTAAGGGTTAGAGAACCAGCCCTGGGTGTGGTCCATGGCTTGTGGATGGAAAGAGGGCCAGCTCTGGTGATGTGCTGGGGGCAGCTGATAAACTGAGGACTGTTCCTGCATACAGCTGTGGGAAGGAGGGATCTCAGCACCATCATGCTTGAGGCTGATTCTCTCTTGCACTGGTGCTCTGGCACTGCGACGCTGTCGTATCATTGCCAAACCCTCAAGGTTCTCTGGCTCCTCAAACACCAGAGGACTGTGCCCACGCTGAACCGGCCGCGATGGTAAGGCAAGGGGTTCAGGGAGCGATTCCTCAGCTACAGTGATCTGTCCAGGAAGATGTGTGCCCTGAAGGAGCAAATCTCGCTCAGTTCTTTTTTGCCGATCATGCAGCCTGAAGAGAAAGAAAAACAAAAAAACACAAGCACACACACAATAATACGATTTATTTCAACATGTTTTTTAGAACTGTGTTCAAGTATTGCTGGGTTTCAGATGACATCATAACATTCTATAGGACAATATGATTTAATGCAGATGGGAGGCAGCTAAAGTGAATATAATATTTTTGTTGTAATACAGTCAGTTCTTGGGTCTAGTGACTAAAAAAATGATCAGCTCAACATTTATGAGTGTACTTTTTGTATATTTAATGGCAATGTACTATATATATATATATATATATATATATATATATATATATATATATATCCTGTCTCTTGTCCCCAATCTGGGAGTATGACATCATCACATTCTAAAATCTGATAACCACCAATTGGAGGTTTTCAGATTCTAGAATGTGATGATGTCATACTCTAAGATGAGGGCAAATTCCCTATTGATCACACTGTACTTTACCATGAAATATCCAAAAGTTAAATTCATAAATGGTGAACCTGGTATTTTCAATTACTGACTAAACCTTTCATCTCACTGTATTGCAACATCATTTTGGATTGTAACAATTGAAATTTTAGCTGCCCTCCATCTGTATTAGTTAATATTGTCCTATAGAATGCTGTAATGTCATCTGAAACCCAGCAATGCAATTAAAAAAAAAAATCTTAAAGATATTAAGGATGAACCTTACCAGGAGGACACCGTGGTGTTGTTGATGTTCACTAACACCAGGTCAGTCTTGTCCATAATGTCTCTGCTGTCCTCAACCAGCTGCTTAATATGGCTGTAAGCCATGACAATTGACTGTGGAATGGGAAAAGTCTTGCCCTTATTGTCCTTTGGCCTATTTCTGGCCTCCCTGAACTCCTTGTACAGTTTCAGAGCCACACACTCTGAAACTCGGTTATGATCTGGCCTGTGCGCAGCCTGGCCATGAACCATGTACAATCTGCAAAAAGATGACCATGTCACATAGTGCACACAATATATGCCTGTTGACATACTCACTCAAATACACTAATACAGATGCTGAACAATTACAACTGTATGAGATGTAGATAGATACCTTTCAGCAGCTTGCTGGCCTGGAGCAGAGCCACTGCGCTTCCTTGACGCTCTCCAAGGTCCTGACAAAGTTGTTTTTTTACTTTTGAGGGTGTATCAGGTGGGAGTCTGGTCGAAGATGTTCAAGCAGCTGTACAGCCTCAATATCTCTGCCACCTCAGTATTCGAGAGAGAGGTTATTGATCGGTTCAGCCCAACCAGGTACCCTGCCAAAGCATCAACTGCCTCCCATCCAGGAATGCCTCTGGAATCAGAACTTGTGACCTGCCACAACAAAATAAACAATAAAACCATAAATATCAATAAAAAATATATAAATAAAATGACATTTCCAATGGTAATTAGATGAGTGTAGACCAGATTAAATTAGATTACAAAATAAGATATGTATCCACTGTACCAGAGCTGGGGTGACAGGCCCAGTGTCCTCAAAAGGGGTTTGGATGGTCCTCGCAGTGGCGTCACTCTCCTCAAGTGGGGATTCAATGGGCCCAGCAGACGGGCATCACTCTCCTCAACTTGGCCTTGTAAGAGCTCCATCACTGAGTCATCGCTGTCCACAAATGGGTATTCAGATTCCTGAGGTGATTAATAAAATAAGGCACTTATATTACAAAGTTTGTCAGTTGTACATTTAAAAAAAACTCTTTAAAATTAGTTTTTCCATATTTTCTGTTGAATGATCAAACATTTGACATCGTATTACCTGAAACGTAATGTCCGTGATGTGTGGCACAGTCACATCTGCACATTCATCTTCTGGGTTTTCATCCAAGACCTCTGGAAGGATTTCAGCCTGCTGACTCAGGAGATCTCCTCTGTTGGACTGTGCCAGAAGGTACTCCACAGCAATGCGCTCTCCTGCAATAATTAGGGGAGAAAAAGATTTTTTAATTTCCAGGTCACAGCTTATATTTAGTTATCACCAACAGCAGTCTTCTTTCTTACCAGTAGGTTTCCCGGGGGGGATAAACTCGGGAATGAGGGGTCTTCCCAACACTCTGTTGCTCAGCACATTCACACTTGACAGCAACCATATGTCATATATTTTTGTCCCGGACGTTTCAGTCATGGCAAGTGCTTGTGCTGAGCGGTTGATGTTCCACCTCGATACACCCTCAAGCATATACATTTGAGTATGCAGTGCACCACCCTGATAAGACAAAAAACAGGATCACTGATTTCTGCACATTGCAACATTATAATATATATATATATATATATATATATATATATATATATATATATATAGCATCCAATACAAAATGTTCTATATGTAAGGTTAAAACTTGCCTGGAATGAATGCACACTGGTGCTTGTGGAAACTCTCAAGAGAGGAAGACCCTCTGCCGCATCTTAGGACATCCAGTGTCTTGTCCCCTTTCTCCAGCCCTGAGCCAGTGTTGGTGTACAGCTGCACCCCTGGTGGATCCTGGATGCAAGCAAGGTGTTTCTGCTGCACCTCCCACACTCGAGACATGCTCTCATGGTTAATGAGGTGCAGTCCAGTGCCATCCACCAGCTGCCACATGGAGTCAAGGAGACATTTGATGGGGGCACGGGTCTCCTCTACCCCCCGGGTTCTCCTGCGGCAGTGCCTCGCTAACTCCCTCGTATTGATGGTTGCCAACACCTGAGCATCGGTTGGCTCACGCCCATGGTGCTTCTTTTTCAGTTCTGCCCGCTTGGCCTCCTTCAAGGTACAGACGTCCTGCTTGTCCCACTCAAAGATGCTGCTGGACAGTTTGGAGCAGAATGTGCCATACAGTGGATGGTGTTCTGTGGTGAGACCATTTGTGAACCGCCTCATGAAATGGAACACATCCAACCGCACAGTACACGTCCAAGGCCGAAACCACTGCAGAACGGGGCTCACTCCTACATAAATAAACAATAAAAAAACATACCTTATGGATCTTACAGATCTATAACCATCAATTATAAAAAGTGTCTGTTTACGTGTATTTATATACCAATAGCTATGAATACTAACATGTACATGAATCTGTGTGTGTGTATGAACACTGATGTGTATTGTGTATGTGTGTATACCAAAAGACCTAAATATGTATTCTTTCCTGCACTCTTAAAAATTCTTTTTTTCTGTAAATAGTTCTGCCATCTTGTATCTTATTCTATATGTTAATAGGATTAGGGTTAGGCAAAAGAAGTGTTAAAACTTCAGCCTAAACCCCTACAGTCTTTAGAATAACTTTGGTGCTTTGCATAATTTCTGTGTTAAATCATTGTAATATGATGATCAAAGAAAAATAAAGTAAGCAACTAACTAACTAACTGCCTTAATCTGCTGGCAAAAACATCACAACACAAAGCACAGGTAACCCACCTCTGTCGCTGCAACAGTCTCTGTCCACATAGATGGCGTCTGGCTGTGGCTCACCAGCATCCCTGTACCGTTTCACGATGCCTTGGCACAGGTCATCCAGGCCAGCTCCCTCACCGGTTGTAAGGACAGAGTTGAGAACTTGACCATGCTCGTTCCCAATATTGGTCATCCATGTTGCTGTGTCCTCAATCCCTCCAGCCAGTTTTTTGGTGACCTATATTATAACAAAGTACATACTTCATAAACACATGTATTCTTAGCCAACTCAAAAAGAAAAAGAAAAAAATTGGGCTTATAAAGTTGTACATTTACCTTTTTAGTGGAGTCAAGCTTGAGAATTCGGCCAAATGTTGAGGTGATGACACCTTTGAGCTCGTCCAGGTGACCAACAACATCATTTGCATGAACTGTCTCAAACCACTGGGCCAGGGGCAGTCGACGGAAGGGCGGTGGTGGCACATAAACAGTCTGGGTCTGGCTGAGGCAGGATTTCTTGTGCATTTCACATTCTGTGAAATAGTCACAAGACCTCCGAGCCCACTCCTCACTGTGCGCTTCCTGAAAAGCCTGCTGCAGGTAACTGGAGCTATTCCCTGCTGTTCTCGGACGGAGAAGTGTCACACATTTCCTGTCCAGTGCCAGATGTGTTGTCAACACAGCAGGGAATTTGTTGCGCTTTGACGGGTCCAGCTGATTTAAAATGTCACAACTCCAAGGACAGACAGGTTGCTTGCACTTGCTGCACCTTGGGTAATCACCTCCAATCAAATAATATTTAGATGCCACATCGATGACCTCTCTGACTTTGGGGTATATCCCAGAGTGGTGCATCTTTCGTTTGCACTGGGTGCATTTCAGTGGAATTCCCCACATGCGCATTGGAGCCCAAAGAAACATCCTCTGTCGAAAATAGTCATGTGGATCTGGAGGTGATGCAGATCTCACTGGGCTTGGGGGGTGGTGCCAGTTTTCCCGGATGTCCTGTCTCAGCTGCCCATTCGCTTCATACAGGACGTGGGCAATCCACTCCTGGTCACCTGGCCGGATGACCCTGAGAAACGGCTTGGGTAAAAACCTAGTCCGGCTTAACTCTCGACAGGACAAAAGCACCGGGAGCCCTGGTGTTGCTGCTGGAGGAGGGGCAGAGGCAGAGGCAGGAAGAAGTAGTCGGTGGTGACTCTGACTTGCTGGTGCCATCTCAAGAACTGTTGGAGTTGGAGGGGCAGGAGCATCTTGGGAGCAAATGACAGGTGTCTTGTCCTTGGTGGGGAGGGAGGCTGGAGCAGGAGCATCTTGGGTGTGGATGTTTGGTGTTTCTGTTATTTCCAGGGCCTGGGCAGTAGAGGAGTAGGAGGAGGCTGAAGGGGCCGGAGGTGACATTTTTGGAACGTCACCTGTGAGTGATTTCACAGCATGACATCTTTCAAGGTGGTGTGTTAATCCCATTGTTCCCTGGGCCTTCACACCACAATGTTCACACTGCTCCTGGGTGTGGTAGTCCAATAGGTGCTGTGAGAACTGGTCCACCGGAACTTTCAAAGCACAAACACCGCATGTCATGGCAGCAGGAACTGAACCTTCCTCACTTCCAGATGCTGCACTGGCCCTTGGTGTGCTGCTGTTCTCCTGTGCAGCCTGTGGATCTGGTAGTGCCTGTGCCTGCTTTCCTGACTAGAAAAAAAAAAGAAAAAAAAGAATTTGCAACAAAACAAGTCAATGAATCACAGAATCATGCAGAACCAATAGACAATGATCCATGAGAAACTGACTAAACATTAAAGACAGGATAATGTGCTGTGTGTGAGAGCAGTGCTGAGTGTAGGTTGTGTGTGTGTGTGTGTATGTATGTGTATGTGTTGGGGGGAGGGGTAATTTACCTCATGGTAACCACATTGGCAGGGGATTGTTTTGCCAAAAATGTCGACCTTTCTGACAGTTTGGCCGAACACCAAAGGAGTCAGAGGACAACTCTGGATCCTCTGTAGCACTGCCCTCCAACGTCTGCTCCCAGGTCTCTGGCCAGTTGAAAATTTGTATTTTCCCTGAGCATACAGGGACATAACACCAGCCCAGTGTGCATCTGGCTTTTGGCTCTTTGGCATGTCTGTGAAAGAGGATGAGAAGACAATATTTAGACATCTAAGCTTTTCATTGAATAATGCCTGAACTTATTAAAATACATTTGATAGCCCTCCTTTTGGTGTTGTATTCTCTGCTGGTAAATGATGTGACCTCAGGTTGAACTCTTAAACTAGTGTCTGTTATCTACTGGAGACCTACACGCCGAATGTATACAAAGAAAAGTTTTATTTTTTTCAGACTCTGATTCACAAAACACCCTAATCATCGCTGTTGGGCAAGTGACTTTAAAACTATGTTATTTATTACTTATTACGGTCATTTCAAAGTAATTAGTTGCATTACAATATTACTGCATTTAAAATGTAAAACATTACATTACTATTGTATTACTTTAAGTTACTCTCAACAAAAGGAACTGTGCAAGGTGCAGAACATTTGCGCCATATATGGACTGAACCAGGGCTGAATCAGGACTGAACCAGGGCTGAATCAGGATTGAACCGGGTCTAAACGAGACCTGAACCAGGACTAAACCAGAACTGAACCAGGACTAAACCAGGTCTGAATCAGGACTGAACCAGGACTAAACCAGAACTGAACCAGGACTAAACCAGGTCTGAATCAGGACTGAACCGGGTCTAAACGAAACCTGAACCAGGACTAAACCAGAACTGAACCAGGACTCAACCAGGTCTGAATCAGGACTGAACCAGGTCTAAACGAGACCTGAACCAGGACTAAACCAGAACTGAACCAGGACTCAACCAGGTCTGAATCAGGACTGAACCGGGTCTAAACGAAACCTGAACCAGGACTAAACCAGAACTGAACCAGGACTAAATCAGGTCTGAATCAGGACTGAACCGGGTCTAAACGAGACCTGAACCAGGACTAAACCAGAACTGAACCAGGATTAAACAAGGTCTGAATCAGGACTGAACCGGGTCTAAACGAAACCTGAACCAGGACTAAACCAGGTCTAAACCAGAACTGAATCAGGTCTAAACCAGAACTGAACCAGGACTAAATCAAGACTAAACCAGGACTAGTCTTGGACTAGAGTCCGTGGAACAGAGTGACCGCAAAGCGCGGTTGGTCTTCGGGCGCGGTTATCTCCGTGCCGCGGGACTTGCGCGCGGGTCTTTCCCCGCGTAGACCCTCCGGTAAACGCGGGCGCCTCTCCGGGCCCATCCCGACATTCGGAACCGCAACGATGCCGTTTCACCGCGGCTGATTAGTGCGTTACATTATTACAGCAAAAAGCTACACATTACAGTAACTTTTTAACGCACTACTCACAACACTGATGCACGGACCTCAATTTCAAAACACTTTTGTCACGTTGCTACTCGCTAGTGATTACAAAATCACAAGTCACAAACGAATACAATTTAAGTACACTAATCTATAACATTTTGGTAAATTGTACTTACTTGTAATGATACGATGCGATCGTCGCTGATGAATAAAGTGCGTGAGCTCAGAATGAAGTTTTTCAATGTACAGTGTCTAACCAACCTGCTAAGTGGAGACGGACACTGATTGGCTCCTTCACCGCGAGAGGCTCACTGCTCCCATTGGCTCTTTTGCCCCTCGGAGACACAGGCGCGCCAAAGCATCTGATTGGCTCTTTTGCCCCCATTGTTAGGACTGGTTAGGACTTTGTTAGGAACTGTTACGACTTCGTTAGGAACGGGTTTCCGAGATCGGACGAGATCGGGCGTGTTCAGGGTGGTATGGCCGTAAGCGAAGGACACATTGCAGGGAATTGTATTTATATCTACTTTATACCTGTTGTTTACCTCGTTGGACATTTGTACACCGGGCTGAGATCAGGGATGGGACTCGTGTGGTTTTTGAGGACAAACAGCTTTCAACAGTCTCATAAAGCTTGAACAAATCATTCCGAATGATTCAGGATTAGAAACTACTTCATTAAGACAATTAAGACAGACTGGAGAGGAACAGGAGAGAGAAACGACATTTGGTGTAGAATCCAGTCAAACTGAGAAGGCCAGAACTGATGGTTAAATGACTTTTAATCATTCCTTGCCATGTCAAAGAACCAACGTAAGAGCTAAACAAGAACAAAATAACAACAATTACAGCAACACTAGCTCATTACATTGTTTAACCGTTATCCATATTTAACATTAATTTGATACAAATGACAAGAAGTTCAAATATACATTCACAAGTCAAACAAACCTTGTTCTCCTGTCGACTGTAGCTATCTTTAGTTTGTTTTATATAACTTTTCTCCGTTGTTTTGTTTTTCACTGTTAACGTAGCCGTATTTACTTTGCGTCTTTTCTTTATAACAAGCTTTATAAACAAGCGTTTTTTTCCTTCACTTCCGCTCAAACCGGAAGTCACCAAAATAAAAGCGCAACCTTACTATTAAATGCCATAAACTGCGTGTTAATGTATATAAGAGCTAACTTGACCTTTACATTTGGCAAGTACATATTTAAAGAATTGTGTGTTACAACCAGGCTACTTGAGTGTTTGAGGCTTTTAACAAGTAAAACATAAAACAGTTTTTCTATCTATAAATCTTTGAATAAAGCTTGATTTAACTCCAGACATGCACATTAAGGTGTAAGATTCTGGAGATGGGCAATACTTGAGAACATTTTCCATGGATATATACGTTTTATGCCATAATGTGGAATATTATAAACAAAGGAAGACCAAAACCAGAAGAGAGGACAAAGTGTTTCTCCAAATATTCATTACAGTTTAAGTTCATGATCTGAATAAACATCCGTGACTGTACATAACTGTAAAGTAGATATAAATACAATAAATACGATACCAGAAGAGGGCGCTGTCCTGATACTTTTCTACATAGAAAAGTCCCTGAGGCGCAGCTCTTGGTCTTAAACTTCTGGGTTCATGAGCTTTTTTTTTTTTTTTTTTTTTTTTTCAGGACTAAACCAGGCAAGACAAGTTTATTTGTATGGCACAATTCATACACAAAAAATAAGAAATACATTCAAATCCCAATAAAACAAATCAAAACATAAATAATCATCATAAAATTAAAAAGAGAGAGAGAGACATTAAATGAGACAAAAGAGTACAGAATGAAAAATGAAAACCTGTCAGTCCTATGCAGCTAAACAGAACCGTTCTGAGTCTGGATTTAAACACAGTCAAAGTCGTATATAAAAGACTGTTCCAGGTTTTATTTTATTTTATTTTTAACATTCATTTTTTCTTAAGAACAATACACCGTATACATTCCATTAAACTTATCATCGTGTGTTTTTTTCTTATTTTCCATTAACCCGACTTTGATTTGTTTCTTCACTTCATTTAAGTCCATCAGGTTCAACAGAACAGACTGAAACATGATTAAAAGTCATGAACAAAAGAAAAGAAAGTCAAAATAATCAATTCATGTGTAGTTAAAGACACTGCTGCAATTATGATTTATCTACAATAAGTCACTTTAAGATAAGACTGCATGATATATCACAATCATGTTTCTACGTCTACAAACATGTGGTGAAATGTGTGGGGTTTTTGAATGAGTTCATCAGCTCATATTTTAGTGTTGTACAAATGTTTATGCTCCTGGAGTCAGTCACAAAGCACATTTAAACACACAATCCCATTTTTTACACTTCTATCCTAAATCTGATCACAATCATCTGTGCTCCTAAATTTTACAGCTGCACAGGAGGAGCGAGGGGCCACAGGAGGAGCGAGGGGCCACAGGAGGAGCGAGGGGACACAGGAGGAGCGAGGGGCCACAGGAGGAGCGAGGGGCCACAGGAGGAGCGAGGGGACACAGGAGGAGCGAGGGGCCACGGGAGAGAGGAGCAGGGCACAAGAGGAGCGAGGGGCCACGGGAGGAGCGAGGGGCCACAAGAGGAGGGAGGAGCCACGGGAGGAGGGAGGAGCCACGGGAGGAGCGAGGGGCCACGGGAGGAGGAGCGAGGGGCCACGGGAGGAGCGAGGGGCCATGGGAGGAGGAGCGAGGGGCCACGGGAGGAGCAAGGGGCCAGAGGAGGAGTGAGGGGCCACAGGAGGAGTGAGGGGCTACAGGAAGAGTGAGGGGCCACGGGGGGGGTCACACAGAGACGGACTGGAGTTCAACAGGACAGTGCGAGAGTCAAACTACAGCAGAATACGTGAATGTTGTACAACTTTGAAACAGTCAAATAAAACATTTTGACTTTCTTTTCTTTTGTTCATGACTTTTAATCATGTTTCAGTCTGTTCTGTTGAATCTGATGGACTTAAATGAAGTGAAGAAACAAATCAAACAAACAGAACTCAAGAACCCAGAAGTTTAAGACCAAGAGCTGCGCCTCAGGGACTTTTCTATGTAGAAAAGTATCAGGACAGCGCCCTCTTCTGGTCACATTGGAGTAGTGTAGTAGTAAGTCACAGTATGAGTCAAACTAAGACGCGTACAGTCACGTAAAGGCCAAAGTGTTTCGTTTGTCTCTCGTGTTTGTAAAAATGTTGTATTTATAAACAAATTTAGTAACAAGAGAATAAAAGCAAAAACTTACAGCACCTGGTATTCCCAGGCGGTCTCCCATCCAAGTACTAACCAGGCCCGACCCTGCTTAGCTTCCGAGATCAGACGAGATCGGGCGTGTTCAGGGTGGTATGGCCGTAAGCCACAGACTCACACATGGACACTGTTTTTAAATCTAGATTTAGGTCTATGAATAAAGTTCCGTGGTCTTCAGTTTCTTACGTCAGCGCGCTCTCCTCTCTCCAACAACTGTGCTGGAAAAATGTTCGTGCTCCTTCCACGGTCCACATGAGGGCGCTATACTGAACACTGAACAAATCTTACAAGCCTATTTGTTAAAGTCCGGTGTGCATGGGACTACGTTACCCATGATGCAGCTGATTGTAGTCCCGGAAAGCTTGGGCTCCACAACTTCCGTTCTGTGTTGTTGTTGTTGTGCAGCAGTAGCGGAGCGTCGTGCTGCTCTCGGGCATCGTGCGTGTTCTTGTGTGTCTGAGTGCCGTGTGCGTTCGTGCCATGTGAGTAATGTTTAGAAGTTATTTATTAGTTATTGTAGAATTATAAGCTAACGCTACAGACCTTTTTCACCACGCCCGGAAGTGCCGCGATGTAAGGTAAACCACGTGACTTACGTTCGCGCTTTTCTATGGCAGAATATCTTTGAAAATGACTTGAATATTTTTCACCAGCTTCATAAATCTGCCCCATCACCAAATCTTCAACCAACAAGGTCCAAAAAGGATAAACATTCTAACATGAACAATTTATCCACAACTATCAAGAGAAGAAAGACAAAAACGTAAAGGCGAACCACGACGCATGAGTGAACTTCTGAACAAAACTAATGTTATGGTCATGAATAAAACAGAAGGAATAAGTAATTCATTAAGTAACTTGTGAACTCAGACCGATTCAAGGATTAAAATTAAAAATAAATTTCATGATGTAGATATTAGCATTAGTGTTGGGGAGTAACAGATTACATGTACTGGAGTTACGTAATCAGAGTACAAATTATGAGTAAATGTATTCAGTTACAGTTATTGTTTCAGTGAGTGGTAATTAGATTACAGTTACTTGGTTGAAATAAATGGATTACACAGAGGTATTTTCTTTTTTTCACATTTTTTTTATTTTATTTTATTTTTTTATTTTTTTTCAGTAATTCCACTCATTGCTGGACACTAAACCAGGTCTAAACCAGGACTAAACTAGGTCTAAAACCAGGTCCAAACCAGGACCAAACTAGGTCTAAAACCAGATCCAAACCAGGTCTAAACCAGGTCTAAAACCTGGTCTAAAACCAGATCTAAACCAGGACTAAAACCAGGTCTAAACTATGTCTAAAACAGGATTTAACAAGACTAAACCATACTGCGTGGACTGTGTCTCCTCCTCTTCTATTAATAATATTTTTAATTTGGTTCAGTAAAGTCTGGTCTTTTTTTTTCTTTTAGCAGATAAAACTTATGTTACGATATCCTGGTCTTTACTTCTCTACAGCAAATCAAGTAATCCAAAGTATTCAGATTACATTACTCACTTTAAGTAATTTAATGGATTCCGTTACAAACTACATTTTGGGGTATGTAATCTGTAATCTGTAGGGGAATACATTTGAAAAGTCACCTTCCCAACACTGATTAGCATAGACAGAGAGATTTGTGCACTTTAAATGCTGCAGATGTTCACAGATCACATGTCTAACGTTTAAACTGCACAAATCTCTCTGTCTGTGTTAATATCCACATCATGAAATTGATTTTTAATTTTAATTTTAGAATTGTAGTGAATGAACAAGTTACTTTGTTTTATTCATGACCATAACTTTAGTGTTGCTCAGTAGTTCTCTCGTGCGTCGTCGTTGTTCTCCTTTACGTTTTCGTCTTTCTTACCTTCATACTTGTGGCTACATTTTTCATGGGTTAGGGTGTTTACGATGGTTCTCCACTGGAAAAAGGTGTCTTGTCCTCTCTAGGTGGGTGGCGAGTCCCTGCCTCAAGTGGAGGAGTTCAAGTATCTCGGGGTCTTTTTCATAAGTGAGGGAAGGATGAGTTTGACAGGTGGATCGGTGCAGCGTCTGCAGTGATGCCGTCGCTGTATCGGACCGTTGTGGTGAAGAGGAAGCTGAGCCCAAAGGCAAAGCTCTCGATTTACCGTCATCTACGTTCCTCCCCTCACCTCTGGTCATGAGCTTTGGGTAATGACCGAAAGAACAAGATCATGGATACAAGCAGCTGAAATGAGTTTCCTCCACAGGGTGGCTGGGCGCTCCCTTAGAGATAGGATGAGGAGCTCGGTCACACAGGAAGAGCTCAGAGTAGAGCCGCTGCTACTTCACGTCCAGAGGAGCAGCTGAGGTGGGTCGGACATCTGCTCCGGATGCCTCCTGGGCCATGTTCTGAGGTGTTCTGGGCACATCACACCAGGAAGCCCTGGGGAAGACCCAGGACACGCTGGAGGGAATCTGTCGCTGGGCTGGTCTGGGAACACCTCAGGGTTCCCTTGGAGGAGCTGGAGGCCATGTGCGTGGAAAAGGAAGTCTGGATAAACAAATGAAAATGGTTGGATGGATGGAAATTCTTCATGGACAGAATATTTCCTTTGTTAACCTTGTTGGTTGAAGATTTGGTGATGGGGCAGATTTATGAAGCTGGTGGAAAACACACCAGACATTTCCACAGATATTCTGCCATGGAAAAGCACTGACATACGGCTCTTGTGAAAAAGGTCTGTTTTACGGTGCGATGCTCCCATGGTCTATGGGTGCTCCACGTGTAATTTATTTATTGTGTTGGAGCCTCTACCAGTGGTTCCTCTGTATAATAGCATGTATTTTTTTCTGTTCATTTCATAGAGTTTGTTCTCTAATGTATATATTTCTTGTTTTTGTTTTCCATATAACCACGCACATGTAACCATCAAAAAACATTGTTAAATATCCCCTGCCCCTCCTCCTAAATAAACATCTACCTTTGTACAAGTGGAGTGGCCTGTCCTTCTGACCGAGGAAAACTCAGTTAAAGATACGTCAGTAATCAGTGCATTCTGGACACACACAGTACCTGACACTACTCTCCTTATCATAGGTGGAGATTATTACAACGCCTCATTGAGTACATTTTGGAGGAAGGTCTAATCATAATAATCTTTTTGTGGATTTCTAAACCTGCAGCCAACTTGAAACTGTTACTGTGTAGGCTAAATCGTAAAGGAGTTTCCAGTGCCTATAGGAGTTCATGTTTACATTAAGTAATATATAAGTGATATGTAACATGGAGCATCCTGATATTAAACTTCTGTTACGTAACTCACCTGGCTATGCACAGACGTATATATGTTTATGTTTGATACAGTCTATGGTTTGAACCACAGACGTATATATGTTTATATTTGATACAGTCTATGGTTTGAACCCAGGTCTGGGGCAATTCTTTTGTGAACAGCACTAATCTCTGCATTCTGATTGGCTGTGCTGCGTCACAGCAGCACGTGGCTGACAGGTTCATTCTGATTGGTTGACTGTGGACTGAGCTTTAGTCTAAAAACTGTCAAAACTTTATTTACTGTGTTATTTAGGATGTTATTTATGATGTTAATGTGAACATTTTGTTAGTGCTATAACCTGAAGTCTCACATTAGGGTAAAAGATCTAAACAAAACAAGAACTCAAACAGCAGTTTGTTTATGTTCTGAATCAACTTAACAACACAAATTTGAACTGACCATTGGACAGAACGCTTTTTACCAGCACCACCAGTAACCGTAGAGCAGAGCCGTAGCACTTTGACCAAAAAAATTTAATATGTCCACAGGGTTTAGAGCGTTTGTGGAGGAGCGTCTGGGTGCTGGTGTACAGGACATATGTGGGCTGTTGAAGAGCACCATGGCGGACTATGAGGAGGAGCTGCGCCGCTCCAAACACAAGAATCAGAAGCTCTTGGACTCTGCTCTGAACCCGAGGGTCGTGCTCATCAGAGCTGGTAAGTCTTAATTTTTGGCTCTGGGTGTTAAAAAGTGCATAGAAAAATGTCTATGATGTAGAAAAGAGCTGGTTAGAAACGTGGGCCATGGCTGTAACGGCCGAAGAACCTGTATGACTCTAAATCACTTCAGATACTGACTCAAATGTATTTACAACTTCATGGACAGAAAAGACATCCCATCAGCCTTAAAATAGAAGACTACAGACAAGCTCACAGTGTTCATGTCATGTATATTCTCTTGTCTCCTGCAGCTGTCCAGCTCCCCTCTCTGAGCCCTGGTGTGACTCCACACATTAAAGAAGAACACAACATCAAACAGGAGGAGACT